TCACCACCACCATCACTATCACCGACCCTAACAAGTGCTGCGAACAGGCGGTGAGAACACAAAGGTAGAGCTCCACGGCTGTGGACTGCAGACAGTTCCACGAACTTCTGAACGTCTGGAACTTTTGTTCCGTGTTTGTTATGTTGCGTGGACGCAGCCGGATGTTGGTTTTCGACAGAGATGTGGTTTTTAACACAGGTTCTCTCAGCGTTTACGGCCGGAAACGGACGATACCTGCCGACGACACCTCCACTCGTGTTGGGTAGGTGAGAATGGAATATATATATAAATATATATTTGTATATAAATGTCTGTATTTCTGTAAATTATTAATACATGTATCTTTACGGCGGTAAAAAACAAGTTAAACCACAACAATCACGTTTGAAGTTTATGTTAATTAGAAGTAATTTACCACGTGGTGTGACGTGATTTCACACTCGTTAACGTTGATTTTTATTTAAACACGATTGAATTTTACGGGGTTTATTTTTGGTATTTCAGCGATTGTCCCGCTGTTCTCAGAGAGACAGCTGTTCTGAACGTATGGTATGTGAACCACAGTGTGTACATGGGATCCTTCTAGTGGTCCACGGGGTTTTTACTACATTCTATGTAGTGTAATATTTACAGTGTTGTTTTTTAACTAGTGTCTAATTTATTAACTCAAACCTGTCCATAACAGGTTTGAGTTTTTCGGCCAATCAGAATGGACAACATTGATAATAATCACCATAACGTTTCAACACACTTTTTGTCCCTTTAAATTTTTTATAAATAAAAAAGTTTCCTTAAACTGAAAGAACGTAAAAGGAATGAGAGAGTGAGAGAGCGGGGGATCAGGACTGTAGAGCAGTATTCGTCCACCAGGGGGACACACAGGAAACAAACAAACGTCCACAGCTGCAGTTACTGCCATTAAAGACAAAGACATAAAAGTATTTCAATCATTGTTAGAGTCCGAGGGAGACGACTGTAATTGAACTAATTAATTTAGACCACACACACACACACCCACGAACACACACACAGAGTAAACATAAATGAACACTTTCTAAATGGAAGGACCGAGCGTCCATTACTGTCACTGCTGGTTTATGGGCCTCAATCAGGAGAAAATGGATTTTTCCCAGTAATTACATTACGATAACATTAACATTACAGTAATAACATTTCTGTGATGTTCGCGACATTTCAATGACATCAAGTTTTGCTAGCAGTTGTTACCACCGCCAACATTTAACGTTTGTCCTTGTTTTTTTTTTTTATATTTCTTCCAGTGCCAGAACCAAGTGTTGACCTGTGACCTCCGACCCCCTCCACGACCTTCAAAAAAACGGTTAAAAATTACAGGGTACAGAAATAACTTGTACGTACGGTAAACAAGATTTGTGAAAGTTTTGATAAGTTTTTTGCCATATTTCACGACCTACGTTAATACATACGTTAATAATATAACTATCAAACTTTGTGTTTTTTTGCGATCGACGAGGGACCACTGTGTTCTAATTTTTTTTTTTGAAGATGTGAAACTACCTTCACACACTGAAGACCAACATCATGGTCGTGAACAGTCAGTGACCAGAACCTGGTGGGAACATGACTGGTCCGCGCTGAACCTCTTTGTCGAAGGTCACTGCTGAACTTGCAGGTGGTGGCAGTGCCTGATATGTCCAGCAGGGCGGCAGTGTTTGATGGCTGTGGCCTCCTCTGGGCCTTACTGTTGGGATCAGTCCTCACTGGTCCACCAGTGAGAGCCTGTCCCAACAGCTGTCACTGTATAGAGAAGAGTGGCAACACGGTGGTCCAGTGTGTTTCTCGAAACCTGTACCAGATCCCCACGGAGCTCCCCAAGGAGACGGTGGTTCTGCTGCTGTCGTCCAATCACATCAGACATGTTCCCAGCCACGCCTTCAGAGAACTGCATTATCTCCAGGAGGTGGATCTGTCCAACAATGAGATTGAGACCATGGACGTTGGGGCGTTCCAGGGTCTTTCCGTCAGCCTCCTGGTACTGGACCTGTCCAACAACCACATCCAGAGTGTCCCTAAGGACGTGTTTGCCCACCTGCGGGCAAAGGTCAGCCTGTCCCACAACCCGTGGCACTGCGAGTGCACGCTGCAGGAGGTCCTGAGGGAGCTGCGGTTGGACCCCGACACGGTCAATGAGGTCATCTGCCACACGGCGGTGCAGGACGAGTACGCGGGACAACCGCTGATCCAGGTGCTGGACTCGGGGATCAACTTCTGTAACTTCCACCATAAGACCACGGACGTGGCCATGTTTGTCACCATGTTTGGTTGGTTCACCATGGTGATCGCGTACGTCATCTACTACGTCAGACAAAATCAAGAGTACGCACGACGCCATCTGGAGTACCTCAAGTCTCTGCCCAGCACTTCTCAGATCAGTAAGGACTTTGACACCATCAGCAGCGCCCTCTAGAGGATCTGCCTGTAACTCATGGCAACAAAGGTGTGGTTTACTACAGAAAATATATATTTAAAAAAAACTGTCAGAGCTGTAAAATCCCGTCACCAACCGAAATTGTTATCAACTGACCACTGTGCACCAATCTGACCAGGACCAGAATCCTACTGGAGTCTTAACGTCATTACTGCCACATTTTCTGGTTGTGACATTTTTTGTCACAGACCAGAGTGGACGTTTTTATGACATTTTATATGTTGTTTACATTTTGTAGATTGTTAGTGTGAAGTAGACTTCGTTTTTAAAATGAACTGGATTTTCTCATTCCATTCATCCGTTGTCGGCCGGTGTGGGTCACATGATGCGTGCCATAAAAAAAATACAATAATAAATTGTCGTGTGGCTTTTTGGTGTCACTCATCCAATCGGCTTCTAGGGATCACCGTAGAAAAGTTGGTGAGAAAGAACTCAGTAGAAGAACCAAAGTAGACCAGAAAGATTACCTCAAAGTTTATTACTTAGAGTCTGTTCCATCTGGGTCTTATGAGTGTCCCACGTGTGTGTGAATTTGCAGGTCTTTTTACTGTACGTCTGTACTTCCTGTTACAGCTGTCGTCAACACATTTGTTCTGGTTGGCTGTTTTTCTTAACCTCTGACCTCTGACCCCAGACCTGTGGACCTTTAGCTGTGGTGTGTTTGAGTTCGGGTCATGACATGTGTTGCTACTGTGATATTAAAGACACCTGTAATTCTACCCGGCTGCTCTGAGGTTTTCTACTTCCAGCGTCACTTTAATTAGTCTGAAAAATATTAATTATTTACTACAAATCATTTGTCTTTGTCTGTGTGAAAGTGACAGGCAGAACCAATACATTCTCCTCTGCTAGGTGGCAGCAGATAATTATAAAAACTGAAAATAGCAAGAAGCTCAGCTGTTGAAGAAGATCTTTGTGTTCGTGTCTTTTTTTTTTCTTTAATTTCTGCAGGTCTATCAGCGTTGTGTCCAACTAAACAGGCCCTGCTTTCACAGGCTTCCACCTACAAAGAGGTGGGTCGTCCTGCACTGTTTATTCTTCATTTTATAAAGTGATTGTCCTGCTCCTGAAAAAAAATCCGCTGTCTAAAAGGCTGGCGGGAAAAGTAAAAAAAAAAAAACAGAGTTAATTTAGTTTCCTTTTTTGAAGGGCGAGTGTTTGGTTTTCGACTCTCAAAGCCTGTGATCGTCTGCTCACCGTGCATCAGAATTTTGGGGCGCATAGGATTTGGATAAAGACATGCATTTCAATAACGATCCGTCACACACCGACAAGCAGCCGATGGCAGGCGTCGACCTGACCTGGTTGTTCAGTTATTCAATTTTCAAATCTGGGACGTGCAGCGATGTGGAGGATGAACGGCAGCGGAGGTTGATAATGTTTGGCCTAGTTATTAAAATGTCACCGTAAAATAAACAATAATAAAAATGAACGTTCAGTTGAAATGAAATTTTTCGAACTAATCTCCAACAGAAAATACATCAAAAGCTTGGATCCTTCCCAACAACCCCCCCCCCTGAGCCCTCGTTCTTCTCTGCTGCTCATTGATTAAATGTTTCAGCTGTATACAGTCGCTGTCTTCTTTTTCTTCGTCCTCTGACAGCTTCCATCAGCTGTACTATAATATAAACTACACAGTTTATTATAACAGGAGAGGCATGAGAGGCAGAACAATTAAATACTCTTTGGCTAGGTGGCAGTAGATGGCTATGGAAACTAAAGAAAACAATCTGAGCTGTTGAAGGTCTTTGTGAGTGTCTTTCTTCAATTCCTGCCACTATATCAGCATTGTCTTCAACTAAACAGGCTGGGATTTTAGTCAGTTATGAGTCAATTATTTAAAAAAGAAGATGGGGTTTCTCCTGATGATACTAAACTAGAAGATGGGGTTTCTCCTGATGATACTGTATAGTTGTGCTGTGGCTCAACAAAAAAAAGGTTGGGAAAACTGCTTTACAGTCAGATGATATCATCATCATTAACCATCAGATACAGTATCAATAAGTGATGGATTTGGAGCTGCTCCTGGGCTGTGTGTCGTCTCTGTTCTGACAGGAGTGGAGACGATGTGGACACCGTCACTGCTGACAGCTGCTCACCACCACCATCATATGTCTCTGCTGCCACACCGGTCCATTAACATTTATACTGTACTGAATTTATAATCCAGGTTGTACTGGAGGACGTAATGAGACGCAGACTTCCTGGACTTTTATTAAGTAGAAAGATGGCTGTTGTGTCTCCTATTTTTGACAAGAGACAGATGAAGACACTGAAAGGCAGCCTGGGAAACTATAAATAATTCTACTCTCAGGCTAGAATGTAAAATGTATTTCAGCCACCACAACAAGAGGCTGTGTGTATTTTCTGTGGTTAAAAAAAAAGAAACACAGACAGAAACCAGGAGTATCTTTATCTTTATTTACCGTTACTCACCGATTCCTTTATCTAAACAGTAGAGATGCTCGATATTAACGTTTTGCTGATATTGTCCAAACGCTTAATTTCCGATTCCGATATCAACCGATACCGATATGTGCCTGGTAGTATTTATGCTGCCATCTAGTGACTTTCATATACAGCCGTATATTTTTAGATCACACAACCACCAAAACTATTTTTAGATCACACAACGGGTTTTCATTATTGGAAAAAAAACGGACAACGACTCTTACAGGTGTCACATAATTATGCTTATGTCGGTCCAATAATATCGGACATCCCTACGAAATGGTTTTCCTTGATCTGTTGGTGTATTAAGGTTGACACTGCAGCACTCTGTAACCCAGAGTCTCCCGAGGAGCTGTGCTGCAGCAGCTACTCTACTGCATGTAGACTTATTAAAGTGACAAGGGCTGAAATGTTCCCAGCGCTCTTGTTATTTTTCCGCTCGTGGAGGAGCTAAAACCAACATCCTTCAAGCTTAGTTTTCTTTTTTCTCTTCGCCTCTGCGCACAGACCCTGGTGCTATCCTGCAGGTGTGATTAATTCCACTTACTGATAAAAACAGTCTGCACAGACACAGCAGGGGCTGCTGGGTGACTTACGCAGGTTCCCCCGGGGGGGAGGAGGGGGAGGGCAAGCAGACATTTCCATCCATCCTTGGATCATTATGGGTTATAAGATGGCATCAGGTAAATGCCCACAACTGCAGCTTACTGTAGGTTCATAGTAAGATGGAGAATCAATAGCTTTGTGGTGACCAGTAGCATTTGTTAGGGCAACTAGGGCTTTGTCTTAACTGGGGGCAAGAATTGAAATAATAATATATATATATTTATATATATATATATATATTAAGACTTTCATTTGTGCCAAATAAATTTGCACCAATTTTTTCTACAGAAGAAGAACATGAAAGCGAGAAGACCAGAGGAGAGAAGAAGAGAGGAAAGGAAAGGAGATGAGAGTATACAGAAGCCTTTCAAACTCAATCAGTATTTCAAGTGCCTTCTTCCCAGTAATAGGATTTCTAGTGTGTGTTGATCATCATCTTCTCAGAGCGAATTGTGGTCCAGACTCGGTTTATTTTTAAAAAATGGAGTACATACAAGTACATTGTGGATTTTTAAAAAGAAAAATTATTATTATTATTTGATTATGATTCACCTTAAGTGTAGTTGTGCTGCCTTCACGTACAATGTGACCATTAGTAGCATTCAAAAGAACACGTACATATACACTGTTCAGGGTTTTCACGGAATCGTCCTTTATTTAATAATTCGATTTATTTATTTATTTTTGTCTGACTCACACACACACATCAACGGTGAATGAAAAATAATGATTCAAATAAAACTCAAGGATTACTATGACCAGAGTGTCGTGTGTCGTGGTGTGTCTGCGCCAAGGTGTGGCGCTGTCACGGTTGCTGAGAGACAGACTCCATCCACCGACACTGCTCCCAGAACCCGCGCCTTTAAAAATGTTCACTTGACCCGATCCTCTACCGCGTCTTTAGAAGTAAAAAAAAAACGCTGGGAAAAGTAGAGACGTGAATGGGAACAGGAACCGGAAGAGACACCGGAAGAGGAAGAAACACACCGGCACAAAATAAAACAAACATTGCGCCACAGAAGTCGGCCCAATTACGGGTTTTTAATCTTATCACGTCACAAAAAAAATGCGGCAGAACAGGCGGTTGAGGCGTGTGACGTCAGAAGCTGAAAAAGTTCGACGCTCGCTTTGAAGGCCACAGGTGAATGATGCAATTTATTAATGGCGGCTCGACCTGGTCTGAATTAACGGCTGAGGTAGAAAGGTAAGAGACTTCTGGACTTTTACCTCCCTGCTGTTGGTGTTTTGACTTAGTTCATTAATTTTAGAAATTATTTTATTTTAGACTTCCCTTAAAGTGAAGGAAAACTTTTTTTAAGTTTGTTTCTCTGTTTTGCTTTGCTTAAACTAAGTTTTAAAATGGCTGACCCGTGTGGTCACAGTTTGTTTGGTGAATGGTTTTAATCATTGAACCATGTTTTACCATTTTAGTGTTGGAAGTGCAGCTTTAGTGTCTTCTACAGTGAATTTTGAAAAGAAACTGTTTAGAAAAAGCTGTGTGTGTGTGTTTTTGAATGTTTTAAACATAGCATAACGTCCAAAGACTGACTTCCACTAATGGGTTCAGATTGTAGTACTTCCTCTTGGCTGCCATGCCTACCTGTCTACTGTGCTGTAGTCCCAGTCTGTCAGGAACATTTTTTACCTTTTATATTATTAGGTCACTGGCAGTTTGTATAAACCCAGCATACCACAATTTTGATTTCCCGTTTGCGGCATAATTCTACTGGTTGACGTGAGTTTGTCTTCCGTTTGCGCCTGTTTTCTGCAAGTCGATGTTCTGTTTGCGGTTCTTATCTCTACAATTTTTGATGTTGCGATGATTTGGACACAATTTCCAAAAATCAGACCTGGATCCATCTGGTTTTTGGGACCTGGTCCCTCCATGGTACCAACATCATCAGTGGCCTTTGGTCCAGATCAAGGACTACACATGAGAACCATGGTGACTCAGTTCACAGTTTTTGTGTTTTTGTTTGTGCTGGAGGATTTTGTTGGACTGTGACCTCCATTCCTTCTAGTTCTACTTGGATTTAAAATGTCAAATGACAGTAATACAAACATATATGGCAAAGAAGTGTTCTTTAATTTGTCTTCATTGTCTTCCTGTCTCTCTGTGCTGTCAGGTGGACTCAAAGTCCCTTCTGTCTGTCTCCTCACAGGAGATGAGCTTTTCCTGCTTTAGCTCCCGTGAAGCACGGCGGTGAATAGTTGATGAATATCGGCGTAAATCAATACCACTGTCACAGCAACACTTAGGCATAATCATGAGTTTCTGAGGAGC